AGTAACTTGATCTGAAGCTTCATTATCATCATCATTAACTTCCTCACTAATTGGTGTAGGAATCACTGGAACTAATTTCTGTGATGAACTACTTTCCAATAAGGGAGAAGGTACAATTACCTCATCAAGTTCTACTTTCCTCCCACTCACTTCTTTCGAGAGAAACTCCTTCTCTAGAAAAGATACATTCTTAGCAACAAAGATTTTGCCTTCGGATCTGTGATAGAAGGTGTACCCAACATTTTCCTTTGGGTATGCTATTAAGACACACTTCTCTGATTTGGGTTCGAGCTTATCAGGTTGAAGCTTTTTGACATAAGCATCGCAGCCCCAAACTTCAAGAAACAACAACTTTGGTTTCTTGCCAAACCACAGTTCATAAGGCGTCGTCTCAACGGATTTTGATGGTGCCATATTTAAAGTGAATGCAGCCGTCTCTAAAGTATAACCCCAAAATGATCGCGGTAAATGAGTAAGAGACATCATAGATCACACCGTATCCAATAAAGTACGGTTATGACATTCGGACACACCATTTCGCTGTGGTGTTCCAGGTGGTCTTAGTTGTGAAACTATCCCATGTTGTTTCAAATGAAGACCAAACTTGTAACTCAAATATTCTCCTCCACGATCAGAACGTAGAAACTTTATTTTCTTGTTACGATGATTTTCCACTTCACTCTGAAATTCTTTGAACTTTTCAAATGTTTCATACTTATGTTTCATCAAGTAGATATAACCATATCTGCTCAAATCATCTGTGAAGGTAAGAAAATAACAATACCTGCCACAAACTCCAATACTCATTGGACCGCATACATCGATATGTATTATTTCCAACAAGTCAGTAGCTTGTTCCATTGTTCCGGAGAATGGAGTTTTAGTCGTCTTGCCCATGAGGCACGGTTCGCAAGCACCAAGTGATTCATAATCAACTGATTCCAAAAGTCCATCAGTATGGAGTTTCTTCATGCGCTTTACACCGATATGACCCAAACGGCAGTGCCACAAATAAGTTGCGCTATCATTATTAACTTTGCATCTTTTGGCTTCAATACTATGAATATGTGTATCATCACTATCAAGATTCAATAAAAATAGACCACTCACAAGGGTACATGATCATAAAAGATATTACTCATATAAATAGAACAACCATTATTCTCTGATTTAAATGAATAACTGTCTCGCATCAAACAAGATCCAGATATAATGTTCATACTTAACGCCGACACCAAATAACAATTATTCAGGTCTAAAACTAATCCTGATGGTAGATGTAGAGGTAGCATGCCGACGACGATCGCATCGACCTTGGAACCATTTCCCACGCGCATCGTCACCTCGTCCTTAGCAAATCTTTGTTTAATCTGTAGCCCCTGTTTCGAGTTGCAAATATGAGCAACAGAACCAGTATCAAATACCCAGGCGCTACTACGAGCATTAGTAAGGTACACATCAATAACATGTATATCAAATATACCTTTCACTTTGCCATCCTTCTTATCCGCCAAATACCTGGGGCAGTTCTGCTTCCAGTGACCAATCCCTTTGTAGTAGAAGCACTTAGTTTCAGGCTTAGGTCCAGACTTGGGTTTCTTCACTTGAGAAGCAACCTTTTTGTCGTTCTTCTTGAATTTCCCCTTCTTCCCTTTGCCCTTTTTCTTGAAACTAGTGGTCTTGTTGATCATCAACACTTTATGATTCTTTTTGATTTCTACCTCCACAGCTTTTAGCATCGCTAAGAGCTCGGGAATAGTCTTGTTCATCCCTTGCATATTATAGTTCATCACGAAGCCTTTGTAGCTTGGTGGCAGTGATTGAAGAAATCTGTCAATGACACAATCAACTGGAAGATCAACTCCCAGCTGAGTTAAGTGGTTATGGTACCCAGCCATTCTGAGTATGTGCTCACTGACAGAACTATTCTCCTCGATTTTGCAGCTATAGAACTTGTTGGAGACTTCATATCTCTCAACTCGGGCATTTGCTTGAAATATTAACTCCAACTCTTGGAACATCTCATATGCTCCGTGACGTTCTAAACGTCTTTGAAGTCCCGATTCTAGGCCGTAGAGCATGGCACACTGAACTATCGAGTGGTCATCAACACGCGTCTGCCAGGCATTCAAAATGTCTGCAGTTGCGGGCGTGGGTGGTACACCTAACGGTGCTTTCAGGACGTAATTCTTCTGTGCAGCAATGAGGTTAATCCTCAAGTTACGGACACAGTCCGTGTAGTTAACTTAGTTTTCTCTAGGAACACATTAAAATTCAAAGGAACGGGAGCACGGACCATTGATCTACAATAACATAAGCATGCAAAATAACCATCAGGACCAAGTTCATGATAAATTAAAGTTCAATTAATCATATTACTTGAGAACTCCCACTTAGATAGACATCCCTCTAGTCATCTAAGCGATCAGGTGATCCAAATCAACTAAACCATGTCCGATCATCATGTGAGATGGAGTAGTTTTCAATGGTGAACATCACTATGTTGATCATATCTACTATATGATTCACTTCGACCTTTCGGTCTCAGTGTTCTGAGGCCATATCTGCATATGCTAGGCTCGTCAAGTTTAACCCGAGTATTCTGCGTGTGCAAAACTGGCTTGCACCCGTTTGTATGTGAACGTAGAACTTATCACACCCGATCATCACGTGGTATCTCGGCACGACGAACTGTAGCAATGGTGCATACTCAGGGAGAACACTTGTACCTTGAAATTTATTAGGTATCATCTTATAATGCTACCGACGTACTAAGCAAAATAAGATGCATAAAAGATAAACATCACATGCAATCAAAATATGTGACATGATATGGCCATCATCATCTTGTGCTCATGATCTCCATCACTGAAGCATCGTCATGATCTCCATCGTCACTGGCGCGACACTTTTGATCTCCATCGTAGCATCGTTGTCGTCTTGCCAACTATTGTTACTACGGCTATCGCTACCGCTTAGTGATAAAGTAAAACAATTACATGGTGATTGCATTGCATACAATAAAGCGACAACCATATGGCTCCTGCCAGTTGCCGATAACTTTGTTACTAAACATGATCATCTCATACAACAATTTATATCAAATCATGCCTTGACCATATCACATCACAGCAAGCCCTGCAAAAATAAGTTAGACGTCCTGTACTTTGTTGTTGCAAGTTTTACGTGGCTGCTACGGGCTTCTAGCAAGAACCGTTCTTACCTACGCATCAAAACCACAATGACTTTTCGTCAAGTGTGTTGTTTTAACCTTCAACAAGGACCGAACGTAGTCACACTTGATTCAATTAAAGTTGGAGAAACAGACACCCGTCAACCACCTTTGTGCATAAGCACGTCGGTAGAACCAGTCTCGCATAAGCGTACGCGTAATGTCGGTCCGGGCCGCTTCATCCAACAATGCCGCCGAACCAAAGTGTGACATACTGGTAAACAGTATGACTTGTATCGCCCATTAATGCAGTGTACTAATGCCAAAAAAGATTATAAAATATGTACTCAATATGAAGATGTTCGTGCAGTGCAGAACCACGGTCCGTCCTATGACATTTTCCACTAGAGATGAGGTGGTGGAGTTTATCATCTACTCCGTCCGTAAAGAAAAAATATAAGTGTAAAGAAATATAAGTGATCTAAACAATCTTAAATCTCTTATATTTCTTTATAGAGAAGTAATTTAGTTTAAATTATGCGACTGGAAAATGGTGCAAATTTCATTTGCGTTCGGCGCATGGTTGGGTGTCAGCCAACATTTCTAGTGTTCGTTATACTGTCATGATTGAAGATAAATAAATCGATAGGTTTCGTTAGAAAAAAAGAATGCGTTAACCGAAGGCGCAGACGGACATTTATTTTGTTTTCGCACGTCCAGAGCATGGCGAGCCCGCGGCGGCGAAATCGCGCGCCAAAAATTGGCGCGCTCAGATTTGGCAGGGCTGGTGTTGGCGCCATCCAACCAGCCCATTTCACGCCCGCGGCTCCCGCTGGCAAGTAAAGTACTCATCTCGAGCCCGCCCAGCCCCCTCGCTCCCTCTCCCAAACCCCCCAGTTTCCATAGCCGCCGCCAAGCCGAAGCGCCGGACCCTTCAGCGCCGCCGAATTGCCGACTGCTCTCACCAAGGCGGGTACGCCACCTCGAACTCCCCTCTCCTCCTCCTCCTCCTCCTCCTTCCCCACGTCCCCTACCGGTCTACGGCATCGGTGTGTCCCCATCGATTTCTTCTGCCGTGGCATGGAAGCCCCTAGCGCAGCTTGCTTGGATAGATCCGAGTCGCATCCAGTTTAAATCGGTCCTCGCTCGCCGTGACCAATCGAATCCGGAAACACAGTTTTGTGGGTGGTCTTGTTTCGATCGGTGGCGGTGATTCCTTTGTTCTATCGGAGCTCTCACTCCTTTATCGGATTTGTTTCTGGCATGAACTCGTTAATATATCCATCACTTGATCGATATGATTGAGTTTTTTTTTTTGCGAGGATATGATTGAGTTAATGTTGTACGGAGAGCGCGAGATCAATCCACTGTAGCGTAGGGATCTGATGTGCATATGCCCTGGTCGGAAACCACTGAAATGTAGGGCTATAACCAAGCATGTGATTTAGAGAGGTCATTTTGCCAGTATATATGAGCAGATTTTGATAACATAAGTTTTTTTTTGCGAATAAACATAAGTTGTTAATGCTGTCACTACCGTGAACTATAGTAGCCACTATAGTAGCCAAACTGTCTGGTTAATCAGCATGTATTGTTGTATCTTGCTCATCCCTAATTTTTTTTTGCATGGCTGACACTTTGTAGCATGGTTATCTCTTATCAGCGCCACAACTTTAGCTACACTGATAGGGCACTATGTGCAATCTTCTTCCATGTGGTTGGTTAGCATGATGGAATGACTATGGGATTTGTCAATTTACTTGTTCTCCATGCTATCTGATGACAATGCTGAATTGAGTTGATTAGTTTGATGCCACACCATGCAGAGATGGATACTTCAGCTCCTTCACCATTTGTCAATGGAGAGACTCTGAAGATGTTTCCTGGGCGACGAGTGCGCACAGTGGTTCAAGTCCAACACAATGAAGGTGGAGTTCTTCTCGGGCTGTCCACTGATGGACATCAGTTGACTATCAGAGGTGCCACTGGTGCCCCTGAACCACCACACTACATTGAGGTTATTGGGATCGCTGACAGCAGCCTGTCCATCCGTGCTGAATCTTGCACTGATTTTGGTGAAAACTTTGGTGAGATTTGATGTGCCTTTTGGATTATAGTGTCTTTCTTTGCACTTCATTACAGTTAATGTGATTGTTAGTTAATTCTTCTCGCTGCAATGGGGTTTGACTTTCAATTTTTCAAAATTCAACCTTGTTACCTTTTACATAATTCCATAGACATAAGAGGAGCTGTACCTATATTGATGTTCCATTACCACCTTAGATCTGTGAGGAGAAGGTGAATGAATACGAAGCATACATTTTGATTACTCTATGAACGTGCTTTGTTCCTGAACCGGTTTGCTGCTTACCGCATGGCTTTGTTATTCTTCGTTTAAGTCAACATATATTAATACATGTCTAGTTCAAATCTAATTTTGTTTGAGAGCATCGGAGAAACCCAAGTGACTGCTTGTGTTTATCTGAATGCTAAATCTAGAAGCTGTTTCCCTTTTATTATCTGGAACAACCAAAACTGGAAAGCCAAAGCTGACTTAAGCTATTGGGCAGAACAGAGTATCTACCTAGTTATGTTTCTTCAGATGCTCTAATTAACTTAGCTTCATCCATGAAATGGTGCCTAATTTATTATGATTGACCATCATCTTTGGATTGATGTCAGGGTGACTGCAAACATTGTTTATCGTGGGAGGAGAATTTATTGTAGCTTACGAGCAATCATTCTGAATATGTAGGGTTATTTACTTATTTAGCTCACCAGTGCAGCATTTCTTATGACAGCTTGCCAAGATATCTTCATTAACAAGCACATTTCAGCCTTTTGTAGTTATTTTATTCTGCACTTCCCACACAAACAGAAATAATTCTACTTAGCCCTTCTTTTTCTTGAGTCAACATCTTTGTTTGTGATCCAACATTATCTATCTCTTTTCAGAACCTCATTGATCTCCCAACCATGTTAATCTTGCAGATGGTGTGGCATTCAACGGGCTATGCAAGCTTGTGAATGACAAGTACAAGTACCTGTTCCTGTAGAATTCAGCATCACACAGAAGGCGTTTGGAAAATCAAGCATGCTCGTCATCGATGATGTGTTTGCCGCTTTAAGATCTGTTCAAATGTTACTTTACTAGCATCAGTAATCAGTTACTTAGGGTCAACTTTGCGCACTTATCAGGACATGTTAACCTAATCTATGTTGTAGCTGTATGAGGGTAATTGTGTGTACGCCCCTTGCAGTTGGAGAGCCTATAGCTTTTGCTGCTTCTAAGCAAAGTAAACCAAAGCTTTATGTTACTATCACATGGATTTGGACCCTGGAAAGGTTCACTTGCGTCTGATGATCCTGTATGCACCTTGATGATTTCTGATGAATCCTTCATAGCCCAGACTACTTGCAAGCTGAATGCTTTGGTGGAAACTATATCTGTTGATCAAACAGGTCCTGTTGAAAATGATTTGTGAACTCTATATTGAATGTCCGAAGCCACCTGATTTGTGCTCTTGTAGCAGAGAGCCTTCTATTTGATCGTTTTATGGTTTAGATCTCTGTTTAGAACTTCCACCCAAGTGATTGTGTTAACACACACACACACAAACACACACACACACACACACACACAAAACTGATGGTGGTGAATTCAAGGGAGCTTTTTGGTTGGCGTTGGACTATCAGTTGAAATTTCCTCCAAGTTCAGTGTAGCACAAGGCCAATTTTATGATCTAATCAAGTATATAGTGATCTAAAACGTCTTATATTTGTTTACAGAGGGAGTAATTATCAATCCTTTCCCTGCATTTTGTAGCGTTCTTGAGTACTTTTCACCGTTCCACCAAACAGCCTGTTGCCTTCAGCAGACAGTCTCACTCCTGAAGCCAAGAAAATCAACTCGCGACTGACTAACTAGACTAGATGTGAATCATTCCTTTGAACTTAATAGTAAAATTGATCAAGAAGCCCCTGCCGACACCAACTTGACAGAAAGGTAACCACTCGTGATGTAAAACTGAAAAATGATGCCACTCTCCTACCCCAAATAAAAAGTGCACTGGAACCATGGATACGATGGATCATGATTGCACTAGGAACATAACAAAATCAAAGAGACATCACAGAAGAAAAAATGGCTCTTTGCGAAACTACTTATGGAAAGGGACATTAGGAATTTAGAAGAAAACCTCTTAAATCGTCCACAAGCCAAAGAGGCCAAAGGCTTCAATGCCACTATAGAACTTTGAGAACAAGCAGTCCCCATCATGAGGCACAGAGAAAAGATAGTGTCGCCATTTGTTTCTAGAAGGACGATGCACTAGATTTTTGAATTATGCCGCTCATCACTTCTCTTGATCGGTGTGTGACATTCGGACTCACAAAAAACAGAGTAATACTTCCTCCGTCCTAAAATTCTTGTCTTAGATTTGTCCAAATACGGATGCATCAAGTCACGTTTTAGTATTAGGTACATCCGTATCTAGATAAATGTAAGACAAGAATTTTGGGACGGAGGGAGTACAAGTGTAAGGTGCATTTTAGATATGTAACTCCCTTCTTCTATGTTTTTTGTTGCTGACTTCAGTAACTTCCTTCTTCTAATAAAACTGTAAGGTGCATTTTTTCTCTCGTTAAAACAAGGTTTTGATCGAGATTTACTTTGTTAATATATGATTTATGAGAATAATATTAATGACATTAGACTTGTAGTACTCCAGTAATAGTATTAAAAAAAACGCATACATGAGATTGCAATATTAATCCAGTAATTGTTTTGTTTGCAGGATTGTTTGTCAAAGCCTTTCTAACAAATAAAATGCACATTGCATTTGGACAAATGGAGTAAGAAAAAAAAATGTACTAACACGAAACACAATGAACAATGGAGAACAAAATTCAGCACAAAGATGTTTATTCCTTACAATATGATGAAGTAAGGAATTGATATGGGTAACAATTTATCCTTCAATCAAATAACTAAAATAGGACTCCCACATAACAAAGATTGAGCCGGCTGAACAAAATCATACTGTATTTGCGATGTATACATAACATTGTTCCCATTTTGCACTGGGGATAAAAGCGCATCAAATATTTTTCAGGTAAGCCCTGAAACTATGCCTTGCCACTTGCCAGACGTGCCGAGATCACCGCGTGGAGAGGGGGTGCATGGACTTTGCGAGCCCGTAGCTCCGGGCTCCTAAGCCGAGGCATCCAAGAACCAGGCCTTGCCGGTACGGCAGAGACGTTGTGCGCCGCCGCGGCCCCTCATCGCGCCCCGCGCCGCCCGGTGCTGCGGCCCTGACCGACGAAACTGACCGGCGAGCAGGCTGCGGCGCCGAGCAGGGCAGAGCTTTCTTGGCCCGCGTCGGCCAGATAGATGGCAGCCAGGATCCTGATCTCTCGGCGGCGGTGGTAATAGGAGCCGGCGGCCTCATCGAGGGATCGCTGCAGGTGCGGCCGAGGAGGTCCCGCAGCGATATCCTCCGCCGCATGGTCTTGGCAGAGGAAGAGGAGGAGGATGACGACGACGCTGATGCCAAGGAGTCGGCAGGCTCTGCAGTCTTCGCGAGCCGCGGGCTCCGGGGCGGCGAAACCGACCTGGTCCGGCGAGGCCGCGGCGAGCGGCCGTCGACGCCGCCCCCGTCCTCCCCCTGCTGCTCCCTGCAATCCGTTTCTTGGCGGATGGGGGAGAGGCAGCCTACGCGGATACGGCCCGAGAGGAAGAGCTCCTCGGCGGAGCTCATGGTGGTGGTGCCGCCGGCGCCGTCGATACCACGGTGGCGCGCGGCGAACTCGAAGTCGCCGGGGGCCGTGCAGAAGTCTCCATCCGCGGAGGGAGCGTAGTGGACCGACGCGGAGGACGCTGGCGGCGAACGGAGGATGTAGTGCACGGGGCTGGCCGGGGCGCTGAAGAAGTAATGGATGCCTCCGCCGTCTTCGTCACACTCACCGTCTCTCCCGGAGCATAGGTAGCGTGCGGGGCTGGAAGGTGCGGTGGCGAGGCCGCTCTCGCCGTGGGCGTGGCCCTGCATTTCGATCGACGCCAGCAGTTCGCCGTCTGAGGTTTTGTGGCGAAGGTGAGGGGCCGAGCCGGCGAGACAGACCTGACGGGGGAGGAGGGATCGTGGAGGGGCAGCGGGCGGTATATGTAACGGCGGGGTCGCGTGTCGTGGTACGTGGCTTCGTGGGCTTTGGTCAAGTATAACCACCTGTTTTTTCATCCTATCGGTCGACTGATGTTTTGAAATGATCGACTGAGTCGCTAGCCGTTGGATCCATCGTCAGATCCTGATGAGGCTTGCAACCATGTTAGGCTTGAAGGTTTGCAACACATGTTATGTTGCGCTCGGTCTGATTCAGCCGACGAGGTATGCAACATGGGTCATGGTGTGCTTGGAGGTTTACAACATGTGCCATGTTGTGTTTGGAGATTTGTATCACGAGTCATGTTGCGCTCAAAGATTTGCACCGCGAGTGCTTTGCAACAAGAGCCATGTTGCGCTCGGGAGTTTTGCAAAGAATCAATATGTGGGTGGCGCACATAATTCCAAATCTGCAAGCCACTTAGCATTGACTCCCACCTCACAAAAAAATACATATAGGCAAAGCATGAAAAATACGCACTAGTGCTATCCCATGACCACATGATCGAGTCGCTACCACCCTAACTAGGTGATGAATCCCCCAAGGATGGTCGCGGAGGGTGAGGAATTTGGGGAATTCAACCGCCGAGTGATCCAGGCTGACGTCCTCCACCCACCATCCTTGCATGGCCTCACTGACCATGCATCTGGATATGAACCTCTTAGCAACCCTAGAATAAATCCACCATGCATAATTTATTGGATTACAAATTTCTAGGTACCGTGTTAGTTGATTACTTCATTCAACCTCGTTAATCTTAATCTAGAATAGGGAACTCTCTCGTAAAACCAGAGAGAAGTTGTGAATTGTCCCCGTCTCCCTCCACACCTGACCTTGAGGAGATTAGGGTTTCTAGCCCTATCATCGGTGTCGTTAGCTATCTGTGTATTTTGTCCATTCAGCCTTGTTAATCTTAATCTAGAATACTGGAACTCTCACATAAAACTAGAGAAGTCATGAATCACCCCCTCTCCCTCCACACCCGACCTGAGGAGATTAGAGCCCCTTTATCGACGCCTTTAGTAATCTGCTCCGCCTTCCATGGCCACGTGGGCGTTTCAGGTGCGGCGGACCCCTCTCCCCCCACCACGACGGGAGAGATATTATCCTTGCTTTAGATAGTTTTAACGTCTTGGCCGGAGCGGCGGCATCCAGGAGTTAGAATAATGTATTTCCTGGCTTCGAAGGTGAGCTAGCAGCGATAGAGGATGGGTGAAAGTGTGTCCGCGGTGGATCTTCTTGGATCCGGTTGGTGCTGGTCTCCGATGGATCTTCTCATGGATCCGATCAACATTCATCTCCAGTGGATCTGTCTGCACTGGGTCCACCCTTGTTTTCATTGGTGTGTTTGCAAGTATGGCTCTTCCAATCAATGCTTCTCATCATCAAGGGCGGTTAATGCTCTTGTGCGTTGGTTCTTTGAGGTTCTAAGACAACGACTTCTCGATTGTCTAGTACAACAAAGATTGCACGCCTTCAATAAGGGAGGGGTGATGGCGGCAACGCCTTCAGATCATCCAACTGCATACAATCATCGCTAGGTGGTCCAAGGACCTAGTTGTAATTTTTGTTACCTCTGAGAATGTTTGTGCTACCATGGTTACACTTTTATGTATTTCATGCCATATCCCCACTCCGAAGGTGAGCCAGCGGCGAGAGAGGATGTGTGGAAGTGCGTCTGCAGTGGATCTTTTTGGATCCGGTCAGTGCTGGTCTCCGGTGGATCTTCACGAACCCGATCCGCATTCATCTCCAGTGGATCTGTCAGGATTCGGTCGACCCTGTGTTTTCATTGGTGTGTTTACAAGTATGGCTCTTCCAGTCTATGCTTCTCATCGTCAGGGGCGGTTTAATGTTCTTGTGCGTCGGTTTTTTGAGGTTTTAACACAACAACTCC